ATTGGAAATCTAAAATGGAACGACGTCATCTTCCCCCTAGGAGATTGCATGCAAGCGACTTATATATATATATATATATATATATATATATATATATATATATATATATATATAAGGGGGTAGTCGAATAAGGGTTGTAGTCATGCGGGTGGTGCAACAGAAACTCGCACTCCCCATCGAAAATTTAGATTTTGTTTGCGGCGAGGGCGGGGACAATAAAAGCAAACACGGAAAACTGTTACCCAACTCGTTTAGGGCGGTGTTTTGTGGACCGAGCGGGTGCGGTAAAACTAACGCCATGTTGACGCTACTCTTCAGCCCCAATGGAGCGCGTTTCGAGAACGTTTACGTCTACTCAAAGTCGCTGTATCAACCCAAATACCAACTACTGTCTCGCGTAATGAAGCAAACCAAAGGACTTGGATACTTTCCTTACAGGGATAGCGACGAGATAATCGACCCCAGCGAAGCGAAAGAGAATTCCGTGTTCATTTTCGACGACGTGTCGTGGGATAAACAAAATAAAATTCGCGAATATTTCTCAATGTGTCGACACAAGTCCATCGACGCGGCCTATCTCTGCCAGACGTACTCCAAAATACCCAAGCAACTGATACGGGACAATTGCAACGTTATAGTACTGTTTAAACAGGATGACGTGAATTTACACCACGTTTACGAGGAGCACGTCTCGCCCGACGTTTCGTACGACGCGTTCAAAAATATCTGTTCCGCCTGTTGGCAGGACAAGTACGGAAGCCTCGTAATTGTCAAAGATTTTGAATTGAAAAACGGCCGTTACCGCAAGGGTTTTGACAAGTATATAAAAGTGGATGACAAGTGATCGTCGGAAACACACAGTGTCATGAAGGCGGCGCCCGTTGACATCGCCGACGCGGCGCTTAAACGGAAAGTAAACGACCTGTCCAAGTCAATTAGGAAAAAGTACTTGGCTCTAAAATTGGGCAAGAGCGAGGAGGACGCGTCCATTCGGATAGGGGAGGAGGATGAAGTGTTTGACACCTCGAATGTGGCTAACGAGTCCTTTCGATCCTATCTGGATCAATATCCTGAGATTTCCCATCCTTATATTATGGCCCCGTTTATGACTCGATCTCATCGAAATGGGTTCTCGGCAATAAGTGGATGGACTTTCATCGAAGATCCGGCGACATTATTGTGGACAGCACGCGTTACCCCGGCACTCTCGGCCTATATAATTTGGTGTTTTTGAAAAACCCCCAGACATACACCGAAAACGATTTGGCAGAATATAAAAAAATTATGGATATCACGGGGGTACATAGGGACTCGCGCGGGCGTCTAAAAGGCGCGTCGACGGTACCCAAGTACGTTCAGGTCATTCGACCGTTAGTAAAACCGCGTCCTTATTCGTACAGTGGACAAGGTTATTGTATGCGCCTATATATAATATAATAATAATAATATAATAATAACGCGCCTATGGAATACGTGTACTGGGACGACGTCAACGAACTCGTTGAGCGCCTAAAATTACTGGTCGCGTCGAAACACGCAGGGAACACGTCCGCGGACAACGAAATTCTCTCTATCGTCGAAGAGTTAAAAGAAGCCGGTATAATACGTTAGTTTAATAATGAGTCTGGACAAGTTTGGACGTTCCAGCGGTGTCCGCTCCAAGCGAACTACCGTGATAAAGTGCTCCGTCTTCGATTATACCGCGGAGGGAAACGTCGATATGAACCATTTAAGAATTTGCAATGTCCAAATGCCTAGCGAACACTACGACGCGGCCACCAAAAAGTACGTGGACGATGAAGTGGACGAGGCGCTTACGAAAAGGCTACGATCCAAGGACGTCATCGCATCACCACCGCTGCTAGCCCCAGAAGAACAAGCGTTCGAAAAACACGCTTTAGCGGTGGAGCGACTCTCGCGGCAAAACAGGGACATTACCCTGGCGTTGGAAGCAAACAAGAGTAGATTCGCACGTTTGGAGCAACAAGTCGGAACGTTTCGAAGTGAATTTCTAAAGTTTCGCCGCGACCTTGATCGCAAACTAGGCCAGATATGCACAAAGCAAGAGTTGGAAAATCACGCGTTAGTGACGGAACGGAGATTCGACGAGATTGTTCCCGAGGTGAATCGACTCTCCCGGGAAAATAAAGATATAACGAGGGCGTTGGAATTAAAGATTCTCAATCACCCGCCGCAGCAACAGTCGTATCGGCCCAAAAAAAGAGCAGCGGACCAAATTGACGAATGAGTAGTAAAGAAAAGATACAACTCGTGTGGGAACTGCACAGGCCGGCACGTAGAAATTATGCGCGTCGCAGAACTATAATACGAGGGTTGGATGATTTGTGGCAGGCCGATTTGGCCCAGCTCGATCGATATGCGAAACAAAATAAAAACTTTAAATTTATATTGGTTGTTATCGATTGTTTTTCAAAATACGTGTGGTGCGAACCGTTAAAAAGAAAAACGGGTAGTGATGAGACCAAGGCCTTCGCCAAAATTCTAAAAGAGGCACGGGATCGACACCCAAAAAACCTGCAAACGGATCTGGGCAAAGAATTTTATAATGGCAATTTTGCGAAGCTCATGACCAAGCGCGGAATTAATCATTATAGTACGTACAGTAAGAAAAAGGCTGCGATAGTCGAACGGGTAATAAGGACGCTCAAAGAAAAATTGCATCGGTATTTCTCGTTAAACGGAACGTACCGCTGGACAGACGTGCTGCCCTCTGTCGTTCAAGAATACAACAACAAGAAACACAGAACGACGGGAATGAAACCTAATGCGGTGAATAAAAGTAACGCCGATTCACTTTTGAAGAGCGCTTTCAGTCACCTGAAAATATTCGGAGCTAGGAAATTGAAAGTGGGTGACGTGGTTAGAATTAGTAAAGCCAAACACGTGTTTAACAAAGGATACACGCCGAATTGGACCACCGAACTATTTAAAGTGGTCAAAGTGCAGATCACGAACCCGGTGACGTATCTTCTCGAAGATATGAACGGTAAACCTATAATGGGAGGATTTTACGAAGAAGAATTGCAAAAAACGGCCAATCCTGACGTCTATCTCGTTGAAAAGGTTCTGCGCAGGCGCGGTAAAAAAGTTTTGGTACGCTGGTTGGGATTGGACAAGTCGCACGATTCGTGGATTGACGACGCGAATGTATTATAAGTCTCAGTGTCGATGTAACAGTTGTGTCGGGGCGCGCATCATGGAGCAGCAGCAGCAGCAAATATCACTCCCCCCCGAAGAGTTGTACGAATTTTTAACGAGCTACGACATACATTATACGACGCCGCCGCCACCACCACCACCACCGAAAGTGCAACAACAACAAGTAAGAAAACCGTCAAAACGGCGTCGTAGTGCGACGACGCCCCCAAAGCCTCACAAAAAAAAAAGAAAAAGCGAAGAAACGGTTCAGCAGCAGCAGCAGCAGCATACCGGCTCATCCTCCTCCTCCTCCGGTTGGTTCGATACGTTTATCGGCGACGAAGAAAGAAGGGTGGTATGCGAAGCGTTCCAGTTGAAAATGGTTTTAGAGTCGCAGCTGGTGCGAAACGAGGACCGGATCAAAGAGACTGAAACTAAAATTGCCCTGCTGCAGAGCGAGTTACAAGTGGCGCGCCTTCACTCCGACGAATGCAGAAAAAAACTTAAACATTTTGCAAGTTTAGCGTCCTCTCTGCCCGCATCAATCACATAGTTTTTTTTTTATTTTAAAAATATTGTCGATGTTGATGTAAATAAAAAAAAAATCTTTAGTGTTTTTTTTTATTTAGACACACACACACACACTCCTCCAAACAACAACAACAACTAGAACAAAACCTGTTGAATCGGAAGTGAAAAAAAAAAAAACATATTCATTTTACATTAGAATAAAAAAAAGACCAACATAAGCCTAATTTTTTTACAAATATTTTTTATTATTAGGTCGCAACGAATATGTTAAAACAAATCAATTATCGCCATTAAATTATTATATATTCTGGTGTGATCATCGTTTTCTGAGGGATTCTAAAAAGACTAACATAAGCCGAATTTTTACAAATATTTTTATTAATATTAGGTCGCAATGAATATGTTAAAACAAATCAATTATCGCCATTAAATTATTATATATTCTGATGTGAGCTTCGCTTCGAATCTCGACCGTTGGTCGCGGTATGAATGTAAATTGCAGCGCGATTGTGTGCGATGGCGTACCGCCGCCGTCGCGTTTGACGACTGGATGACATCATCGCCCGCCGCGTGGCCGGTGTACGGCAGCGGATGCATGACATCATCGCTTTGCGAAATGTTTGAACGAAACCTTGGCGGGTGAGATCATCGCGTCGCCTGCCTTCGCAACGAGACTTTCGTATTAGTCCGCTGTCGGAATACAGTATATAAAAGGTTTCGATTGTTTGTCATCATTTAAATACCGCTTGAGTTGTGTGTGTGTGTGTGTGTGTGTGTGTGTGTGTGTGTGTGTGATCAAGTCGCTTAATTGACCAAACGATCCGTGTTATCTCAGTGTTAGCCGCGCCACCGCAACCTCCCAAACCAACGCCAAAGTAAGTACTATTTTTTTTTTCTTGAAAAAATTGTCAATATTGAACTGAAGGAATCTACTTTCGTTATAGATGGACTTAAAAGCATTAAATGAAAAAATTGCAGCGAATAAAGAGAATCGAAAACCAATAGTTAAGTTGGGGCAGTTAGACGTTGGTCGACCATACAAGATAGACAAGGCCAGAATAGTAAAGACCCAGTTTGGGGAGGCGGTTCTATTGGAGTTAGAATTATCGGTGGTGTTCCTGCCGAACCGGGTGACGGACAGCTTCCGGCTGAATATAGACCAATTTTCGACGGGCCGCTACAGTCTGGTGTATCGGGGCGTTAAAGAAGTCGGCAGTTGGCCCGCTCAACAATTTGAAATTGTTCAAAATTAAAAATTACGGGGGGAGAGAGAGAGAGACGGTAAGTCTTATTTTTTCAAATATTATTATTATTAATTGGTCGCAATGAATTTCACGCGAACTATTGAGGACGCTCAAAATTTAATTTTGGCTTTTCGTCAAGTGAACAAATACGTGTTCGATAATTTAACGGAAGAAGATAAAAATGTTTGGTTGGGTCGTTTACGCAGAAACATCATTCGGTGCAACAAGATTGTTCGTAGTCCCAAAAAAAATATATCCATGGGGTTACAAAGAAAAATACAGACAACAATTCAACATCTTAAGACTATTAAACAAATGATTTTAAATCATCGCTACCATTTTGGAATGGGGTTGCAAAACAACAGTCCCGTAAATATAAAACAAAGGGTTTTGTGGGAGCAGATCGTGTCTTGTTTCCAGGGAAGAGTTTTAACGGGTGTAATAATCAATTTGAAACACAGAGACGAACAACAGTTTTTAAACGACTGTCTTGTCATATTTAAGAAAAAAATTTCAAAAATTTTAAAACAAGCGTCGCCAATGCTAAAAGTAAATGCCATCGTTTTGCGGGGAATTTATAAAGAGAAAAAGCGACGACCAAGACGTGACCGACGTGAAATATATTTCTACCAAAAATGCTGTCATCGACTTGGGGACGGATTTAAACGAATGGTTCGTTGAAAATGTTAAAAGTCAAATTCTAAATAAATTGTCTGAATTTCAAGAACGCGATTCGGGATTTGCCTTGCAAAAAATTCTTTATTTGGAAATTAATATTAACAAATTTGAAGTGGGTAACGGCTCTTCCTACATTGAATTGCCCCCAGAAATTAAGAGAAAAAATGCATGCATTAATATTCAAAATAATGACGAAGCCTGTTTTTATTGGTCAGTGGTCTGTGCTTGTTTTCCTGTACATCGCAAACAACACTTACCAACTTCATATCCTTATTATAAGGGCGTTTTAAGAACTGAAAATTGCCCAACACCGATGGGTCTAAATCAAATTCATATATTTGAAAAATTCAACGAAATTTCCGTAAATGTGTACGTTTTAGAGTTAATTCAAAATAACAGTAAAAGTTTTTATTCAGTGCTACCGGCCCATTTGACTAAAGAAAAACGCGAAAAACATGTCAATTTACTATTAATTCAAAATAAGTATTATCCAAAAATTAATGATTTTGATCCGGAACCGACGACGGCAGAGGACCATAAATATGAAAAAGAAGAAGAAATTAAATATCATAATTGTTATATTAAAAATTTATCTCGACTAGTGTCGCGCCAGCTTAGTAAACATAACGGTAAAAAATATATTTGCGATAGGTGTTTGAATTACTTCAGTAGCGAAACGCTCTTAAAGGATCATGAAAGGTTGTGTGTCAGTTTGAACGATTATAAAGTGTCTTTTCCCAAATACGACTATGTTGAATTTCGAAACCATATATACAAACAAACCGCGCCATTTGTAATCTACGCCGATTTCGAAAGTCAACTTAAAGATGTAAATTTGGTAATTTCAGACAAAACGCGAAAATATCAAAAGCATGAGGCATATAGTGCCGCATATTATTTTAAATGTTCTTATGACGATTCTTTGTTCTTTTTCGAATCCTATCGCGGCCCAGATTGTATGGATTGGTTCGTCCGACAAATATCTTACTTATCGAAATTTGTCCAATCGAAATTTATTGATATCGCACCCATGGAAGGGTCAATTACTTTCTCTCAAGTTTCGACACATTGTCATATTTGCGAAGAACCTTTCTCACCGAAAGACGTCATTGTCTGCGTCCACGACCATTTTACCGGGAAATTCAGAAATTTCGCCCATCAGGCTTGTAATTTAAATTTTAGAAAATTGTTGATAGTGCCCGTAGTATTCCAGAACCTCTCAGGGTACAACGCCCATTTTATCCTTAGGGCCTTGGGCAATAAAGGGTCTTTAAGTTTGGTTCCGGTCAACAAGGAAAAATACATATCTTTTACCTATTACGAGCCCGTATATAAGCTAAAGTTTCGATTTATAGATTCGTTTAGATTTTTGGGGGCGTCTCTAGACAATTTGGTAAACAGCGTCGACAAAAATGAACTTTACATATTAAAAAAGGAATTTTCTCACCTTCAAGACGAATCAAAACTAAATTTATGGTCATAAAAGGGTGTATTTTGTTATGATTACATAGACGACTACGACAAATTAAATGAGTCCGACATTAGTAAAGAAAAGTATGCTCATGCGCAAAAAGTCTGGTCCGCGTTTGAAATTAAAAACTTGGGCGAATATTCGGATTTATATTTGAAAACGGACGTTATTCTTTTGGTCGACATATTTGAAAATTTTTGAAAAAATTGTATGGTGACGCATATTTTGGACCCGGCATGGTATTTTAGTATGCCCGGATATACGTGGGACTGTATGCTTAGATTCACAAAATGTCGTTTAGAACTGATGCGTGACATTGATCAGATTATGTTTATCGAACAGGGTATACGGGTTGGGATTTCGGTGTGCGTTGGCAATCAATCAAGCAATCAAATTATCTCACATTTTTTGACGTTAACAATCTTTACGGCAAGGCTATGTCGGAGCCTCTTCCCTACGGCGGATTCACATGGTTGACTCGGGAAGAAATTGCCTCCCTTAGCATTAATAATGTTCCAGACACGGGCGGGGTAGGCTATATTTTGGAGGTAGATTTGCAATAGCCTCAGAGTTTACACGATTTACATAAATATTTCCCATTTTGTACCGAGCATCGCGTGCCTCCCAATTCAAAATTACCAAAATTGATGACAACCCTTTTTAATAAAACCAATAACATTATACACTATCGAAATTTAAAGCAAGCTTTAAAACACGGACTCGTTCTTACTAAAATACACAGAGTATTAAAATTTAGGCAATCTTGGCTAAAAGAATATATCGATCTAAATAATCACTTACGGGCGCAAGCCACTACCACTTTTGGTAAAAATCTTTTTAAATTATTTAACAACGCGGTGTCCGGAAAAACTATGGAAAACATACGTAAGCATCGGGTCGTAAAATTTGTTAGAAAGTGGGAGGGTCGTTACGGTGCTAAAAATTTAATTGCTAGTCCCCGATTTCACAATAGAACTGTACTAGATGATAATCTAATGTTGGTTTAACTGAAAAAATCGGAACTTATTTTTAACAAACCCCTTTACATTGGAATGTCAATTCTGGATCTATCTAAAATTATCATGTATTCGTTTCATTACGATTACCTGCTACCCAAGTTAGGTCCGGAGAAATGTAAAATTCAGTATATGGACACGGACAGTTTCATTTACAACATCCATTGTGATGATGTATACGAAGAGGTTATTAAGTCCAATTTAAGCAAATTCGACACGTCCGACTATCCCATTGATAATCCATACAATATGCCTCGCGTCAATAAGAAAGTACTGGGTCTAATGAAGGACGAGGCCAACGGTTCAATAATTTCACACTATGCCAGACTAAGATCGAAAATGTACACTTATAAAATCTTAAACGGAAAAACTGTAAAAAAATCAAAGGGTGTAAACTACCAGATTGTTAAAAATAAAATAACTTTTGAAGATTTTGTTGATTGCTTGAAAAATTTAAAAGAAAAACATGCTACTCAACGAACCATTCGTTCTTATACGCACGAGGTGTTTAGTATCGAACAAATTAAAGTGGCGCTAAGTCCGTATGACGACAAAAGATATCTTATAGCAAACACATTTGATACTCTTCCGTGGGGAGATTACAAGGCACTGTAATTTTTTTTCTCTGTTGTAGACAATGACCGAATTGTTGTCGTTGAAAGATCTATGTATAAAGTCAATTAGTGAAAACGTTCATTCTTTTGCACATTTTCTGCTTGAAACGACCTTACCGAGGACGCTAACGCTACAGATAATGGAAAAATATCCCGAATATAGGTGGAAATATATTAATGCACTCGCTGTCAAATGTGAACGACCACCTCCACCAGATTTGAGTTTGATAACCCGTCAAAAGAAAGTATCGTTGGCACATCGAAATGCCATTTTAGTATGGCCAAGGTATACAGACCATCCTTTTGAGCATTATAGCTATTATTTATGGGAAAAACACTATATAGTGATGACCCGAACATTTCTGTTGATGGTTTGTGAATCTTGCAAAGACGCTTTTATAACTTTTGATGTTGCTATTCCGAAATACACTTTGAATTAGAACCCGAAAAAAAAAAAACGATGATCGCCCCCCATTTCAACGACGGACGGGTTTTCACGGCAGCCCCTCCGAGATGGCGGGGGGGCGGGGACTCTACCAGCGGGGGCTACGCCCGCCCGCGCGGGCGGGCGGGGCCCCCGAACGGCACGCGGGCAAACGGCTCATGGGCGAGCGGACAAACTACGCACCACGGACAACGGTTTGGTTGGCACCACTGACAACGGTTTGGTTGGCACCACTGACAACGGTTTGGTTGGCACCACGGACGACGGTTTGGTTGGCACCACGGACAACAATTTGGTAAGGTTGGCACAACGGACGACGGTTTTGTTGGGTTAGGGCGAGTGACCTTGAACCAATGGGCGAGCGGCCAATGGACGAACGGCCAAAACACAAAAAGAAGAAGAGTGGCCTATGGGCGAGTGGGCGGGGCCCGTGGCCGGGAAGCCAAAAAGTGAGGTTATGTGGGCCTGGATGTCCCTTTATTCGGGCGAGACGTGCTCGTCGTAAACGTGGTGTAAATTCACGTCATCCTGTTTAAACAGTACTATAACGTTGCAATTGTCCCGTATCAGTTGCTTGGGTATTTTGGAGTACGTCTGGCAGAGATAGGCCGCGTCGATGGACTTGTGTCGACACATTGAGAAATATTCGCGAATTTTATTTTGTTTGTCCCACGACACGTCGTCGAAAATGAACACGGAATTCTCTTTCGCTTCGCTGGGGTCGATTATCTCGTCGCTATCCCTGTAAGGAAAGTATCCAAGTCCTTTGGTTTGCTTCATTACGCGAGACAGTAGTTGGTATTTGGGTTGATACAGCGACTTTGAGTAGACGTAAACGTTCTCGAAACGCGCTCCATTGGGGCTGAAGAGTAGCGTCAACATGGCGTTAGTTTTACCGCACCCGCTCGGTCCACAAAACACCGCCCTAAACGAGTTGGGTAACAGTTTTCCGTGTTTGCTTTTATTGTCCCCGCCCTCGCCGCAAACAAAATCTAAATTTTCGATGGGGAGTGCGAGTTTCTGTTGCACCACCCGCATGACTACAACCCTTATTCGACTACCCCCTTTATATATATATATATATATATATATATATATATATATATATATATATATATATATATATATATATATATATATATATGTACAATATATGGACGCGGCGTGTAAGGCCCACGACATTGCTTATTCGCAGAAATGGTTCAAGGAGCGCCGTCACCCAGCCGGGCGGGCACTCTACCAGCGGGGGCTACGCCCCCCCGGGGGCCCCCGCGGGCGACCTACGCGCCACGGACAACGGTTTGGTTGGGCACCACGGACAACGGTTGGCACCACGGACCACGGTTGGCACCACTGACAACGGTTTGGTTGGAACCACGGACAACGGTTTGGTTAGGTTGGAACCACGGACGACAATTTGGTTAGGTTGGTACCACGGACGATGGTTTGGTTAGGTTAGGGCGAGTGGACAATGGGCGAGTGACCTTGAACCCATGGGCGAGCGGCCAATGGTCGAACGGCCAGAAGACAAAAGAAGAAGACCTATGGGCAAGTGGCAAATGGGCGAGTGACCAATGGGCGAGTGGCCAGTGGGCGAGTGGCCAATGGGCGTTTGGCCAACGGACCAAAAAGTGAGGTTATGGGGTCCCTGGAAGTCCCTTTATCCATCTACTGATTATTATTGGTAATAGCGGGTAGTAGTTAGGTAATGTTTAGTCTCCTTCCGTTGATTAACTTCTGTCATTATTGGCCCATTGACCCTAGTGGTGTCGGAACCGAACATCGTATTGCCAGCACCATCGGTCTCTTTTTTTTGGAACTTTGTGAAACTTCATCGATCTTTCTTTCTTTGGCTCTACGATTTCCGCTGGTGCAAGTGGTTGCAAGATTTCAATCCGAATAAGTTTGTGGCATCTCGTAGTTTTCGAGGATTAAACCGGATTGAAATCGTATAGAAGTTGCGGATCGTCGTCTTGTTGGTAGTATTTTGCTTGGACGTCCCCGACATTACAGCCTAGGCTGGATTAAAGCTAACCAACCTAGCACCTGGCACTCTTCACCGCCACCCACGATCATCAGGCGTAAGTTTCACAATTTATTTCACACTTTGCAAGTAATTATGAACTCCGCAACTCATTATTTTGTTTTGTAGGGTTTCTGGTTCTGGTTTTGGTTTTGGATTTGGTTTTCGTTTTGGAACCAGTTTTTGATTGTTGGACTGGTTTTGGCTTCCCATTTGGTACTGGCTTCCCTGGTTCCGGTTCAATTGGATTTGGTGCCTCCTTACATCGTGGACGGCACGTGTTATGAATTCTGCAACCCAAGAATTCGTCAAGTCTTCAAGTTAGCTCGGTTCAGGACGTTGCAGTGCATATCTCCTCGTCCAAGAGGAGATATGCATGACTGGTGAACCCGTAGGCAGCATACAGGACAGCCATCTTAGAGCTTGCCCGACTCGTTCGTTGCTGGTAACTGGAGGATCACAGATAAGCCTCTATTTACGTTTCGGGTAATTTTATTGCTATTAAATACAAATTTCAATTTTTAAATATCGATATAAATTAAAGAGCTCAGTTAGGGTAAAGATAAAGTACACAATAATAGAAACATTTGTCTGTAAGAGTTATTTGTAAACGATCGATCGTAACCAAGCTTCCTGTGCTTAGTGTGTACTTGAGCCAATATATGGAGATTTAAACTGACGTGCCGGTTTATTTATTAATTATTTATTTGGTTATTTGGGTTCGAACTTTGTTAACTTTGTGAGTTTGATGGGTGGCTAGTGAGCAAGGACACTAGTCACTATCACTAACTTATAGTATAGGTTGGGGTTTTGTCCTAGCTGGCGCCCTTCAAAAAAAAAAAAAAAAAAAAGAAAAAGTGTCAATGGCAATACCAATCGGTAGCAAAGTGAGCAAAGTATAGTAGGATTGCTTCGGTTTCCCCTCCACCTTCAGTGGAAAAGAGACGTGGCAATTTTTCTGGAAACCGGGGCGCCAGCTAGGACAAAACCCCAACCACTATAGGCTGGAAGAATTCGTTAGAAATGCTCAAGCTATCAATGTGCCAAAAGACAAAAGGCACTAATGAATTAAGTAAACGTACTCAGATTAGGTAACCATACAGGCCTGTATGAGTCGGTGCTGTTTGCCAATGTCAACAGGCAAATGTCGTAGTACGGCTTCTTCTTGGGATAAAGTTCGTGGATTTCCACTTTGACGACCCTGTATTCGGTCACCTCCTTTTCGCTGGCGCAAATGTTGTACATTCCTAGTCTGACTGTGTAAATGTCCTCCAATTTGCCTCCCTGACTAAACAAACCTGTTATATCGGCGGTAGCCGTAGCAGTGAAGTCAATTACCTAGCAGAGTGGAGGTACTCTTTGAAACAATGAGCTGCGGTGAGGACAATTTGGGGCCCAATCAAAGCACCGCCGCAGTTTACTTGGTTCGAGCGTACCAGCGCCGCGTACCATGGGTACCTGTAGTACCCGACGTCGTAGCCAGCTACGATGCGGTCAGTTTGGATGACATATTCATTGCCCAGGGGTCTTCCGCATTCGCTGCCTACATGGTTTCGCTTATAAGTGGGTCTCAACATGTGTTTACGATTGGCCAGACAAGGGTCTGTAAGAGCGTACAAGCTTATAATGATCGCGGCGTGCGTTGCAAACATAGCAAGGGTTAAAATGTACTCCACACGCATACAGTGATGACCTACAAGCGAAATGATAATCGCGTCTAACGTAATGGTTTGCATAAATGCGGAATATTTGGCATATTTTTTGCAGCGTATCGTTTAGGGAAAATACCGATGCATCTACAGGGCGATTCAGTTAAAGCCTGTTTCCTAGTTCTCAATTATGTGGCAGGTTTTAGAGAGTAAAACTTTACAATTGCAGAAAAATACTTTGTTTGTTTTTTAAGTTTTATTTAAAAAATATAGGAGTGGCAAACCTCAAAGATACATCATAGAACTTCTTATTTAATTGTTTATACATGTCTGACTATAAATAAATAAATGAAACGACAGATAGAATTGGTAGAATTGTGAATTAATAAGTCAACGTAAGTCGCTAATGAAAAATGGTAACATAATAAAAGAAATAATGACGAGTTTAGTGATGTTTGGAATGCTTAATTAAACATTGTAATAGGTGTTTTTTTTCGATGTATAGAACTTTAAGTTGGCATTACTGTTCAAGATGGTGACCGATTTTTTAGCAGCAGTCAAGTGATTTATTTTCAGTTTGGTTTGGCAATTCATCATGAATAGACTCATGCCTGAACAACGCTTGCAAATAGTGCAATTTTATTTCGAAAATAATGGTTCTGTGCGGAATACGTATCGCGCACTACGTCCATTTTATCGTCGACAAAATCGTCCATCAGAGCAGTTAATTCGATTAACCATGGAACGTTTTCGCACCACGTTTACTCTTATTGTTAATTCGCGTCCCCAGCGACGTCGTACGGTGCGTACAGAAGAAGCTATTGCTGCTGAAGAGCGTAGCATTGAGGAAGACCCGAATGAGTCCATCTGCCATTGAGCACAGGAATTGGATCTGTGTCCATCCACTTTATGGAAGATTTTGCTGACGGATCTTGGTGTACGTGCTTACAAAATCCGACTCGTGCAAGAATTGAAGTCAAACGATCATCAAGTAAGGCGTAGATTCGTCGAATGGGCCCAAAACGAGATTGCCGTTGTTCCCGATTTTCATAAGCGAATTTTGTTTAGCGATGAAGCGCACTTCTGGTTGAACGGCTACGTCAACAAACAAAACTGCCGCATTTGGAGCGAAGCTAATCCTCAAGTGTATGTCGAAACACCGTTACATCCAGAAAAACTGACTGTTTGGTGCGCTTTATGGGCTGATGGAATCATTGGCCCGTACTTCTTCAAAAACGATGATGGCCAGAACGTTACAGTCAATGGTGATCGGTATAGAGCTATGATTACTAACTCTAACTAACTCTTTCATTCCTGAATTGAATTACCATGATGTCCAGGAGATGTGGTTTCAACAAGACGGCGCAACATGTCACACAGCTCGTGCTACAATCGATTTATTGAAAGACACGTTTGGTGACCCCCTAATTTCACGTCTTGGACCTGTGAATTGGCCTCCAAGATCTTGTGATTTAACACCGCTAGAGTACTTTCTGTGGGGCTATGTAAAGTCATTGGTCTATGCGGATAAGCCACAAACGCTTGACCATTTGGAAGACAACACAAATGTTGGAAAAAGTCATCGAAAATTGGACGTCCAGATTGGACTACATCCGCGCCAACCGTGGCGGTCATATGCCAGAAATCATATTTAAAATGTAATGCCACAAGATTATCTTTCGGATAAATAACATTAATGTCAATTGAATAATCCATCGTTGTTTTATTGCAACTTAAAGTTCTATACATCGAAAAAAAAACACCCTATATGATAGTAACCTTCAGAACCTCCACAGGCTACATGAGCCCATAAATTGCAACTTTAACACTGTACCCATGGCTCTCCAGGTCTGTCATTGCAATAAATGGTTTCGCAGACTCGACATAATCGGTATTCACTGCGTCTTCGTCACTTTCAGAGCCACTGCTCGACGTAGCTTTTCTCTGGCGTCGAACGACATGCCTACCGGATCCTTCTCTGTCGTGATTACGTCTGACACCGTGTCCACGTCCGCGTCCGCGTCCACGATTCTGTGCTAAGCGCAAAGATTCGGTTAATTGATTTTTGTATGGTGATGACACCTTTGCTGTAGCCTTTCTTCCACGATTAGCAGTCCTAGTCTTGATCGTAGAAATTGGGTGAATGTTTTTCCTGGGGAAAAGCATCATAGGTGGCACAAATATACCCGATGCGTTCATGCAGCAAACATAGTGATTCTCATTCTGCAGCAACTTCTTGCCATTTTACCTAACACCTGACTGCACGATTGTCAATCCAGTTTTGTCAATATTAAAAATCCTGCCAGCAGGATTAGTTTTTCTCATTTCGGCTTCCAAAATATCAAAAAATTCTTTGACTGCTTGACGATTGAAGCCTTGAGTACGAGCATATGATGTCCTCATTGGTCTGCGTAAAGATAAAGTGTCTTTATGCCGGTTTAAAAAGTGATCTAACCAAGCACGCCCTGCTGCTTCATTCTTAAATGTATTAAGAATACCATTTTTAACAGCTAACTGATAAGCCGTTTGCCGAACATCCATTCTAGTAAGCCCATAGTACCTGGACTCCATAAACAAGATATACTCCACTAACTTTTTTCCAGCTCAGCTGGAAGTACACGTTTCCTTTCTAGTGGTTTATGTACAAGCAACTCTAAAGATTCTGGAAGGTTGTTTACTAACCGTTTCAGTGTACAACTAGGCACAGAATACATTTTTACAGCCTTTTTATATCCCATGACCTTACTTCATTAATTGCTGATTTCATTTGTTCAGGATCCCATTTTTTTTGTTAAACAAACGTATCAAAAATAATTATTACAAATTTAATTTTGTCTTTACCTTTTAATTCTCGAAGAAGAACAGTTCAACGTATCCAATGTCCGAACCATAGACAACTATATTATATTAGTTGGTTAGTTGTCCGAACACAATAGCCACAAAACTATTTATAAACAATTACCAAATTAAAATCACAGTAGTTTAAGTTTTACCGGAAACGAGTTTCAACTGTTTCGAATGGCAATCGAACATGACAGGCTCTGGTGGATTTGTAAGGTACTAAATACGTATGGTGCCGGGAGCATCCCGTAGCGCATAAAACATACTAGATGGCGTTTTTCAAATATTAAAATATTGAAGGGGACAATATATCCGCAGGGGCCACATTACCACCTTTTCCTCTAATATTAAAAATGATTTCGAGAGAGACCACATAGGGTTAGACTTCTAGAACATATTAAAAGAATTCACAACACAGTGCTTAAAACAAACCAATTAGCTAATCACTTAATTGATTATGAAAGGGAATCCAACGATCCGCGACCCGCTAGGTCAACTACAAAATTGCCAATCACAAATAAACTATCGGAGCTACTCAAAATCCACACTTAACCAGTGGTTTTATGACGTAAGATTATCTTCACCGGATTGCGTTCGACCACTTAAAACGAAGGACGCCGATATATAGTATGGGCGTGGATAGAGTAGCGAAAAAATGAATTAACTAATATTTCTTGAAAAAATTGTTTCATGTAGCCCTTCAGAAGAAATGGCAAAAATATTACTGTAAAGTTTACGTCAATAGTCATTTGGTCTGATGCAGCGTTCAGGGTTATAAAAAGATATAAACATATAATTTATTATATAATTGTAATATTTAAATTAAAAAAAAAAAAATAAAAACTGTCCCGCATGTGCATTTAAACAGTTGTTCTCTAACTTTTTTTCATTTTCAAGAAATGAGCACCCACACTCACAACTTTGTGACAGGTGAATGTGGAAATCTAGTTTATGATGTAAACATGAAATATTCTAAAACTAATTCATTTACAATTAAGCAATTAGGAGTGAAAAACGATGAGGTCTGGAGGATAATTTCAAAAGAGCTGAAACAATACACTTCTGAAAGTACACGAAAGTTAAAGACATTATGATAGACAAAAATACTGGAGGAAAGCGAATTACATTTGACTTTTTTAAGGAGTGGACTGAAAAGTGCTAGAAGATACAGATATGCAGTGTGAA